CCAGCAGCGTGCTTGTGGGCGTCACGGCCAAAGGCTTCAAAGCCAGTGAGGAAGATGAGGACAGTGGTCCAGCCGTGGTACAGGGAGAAGGGAAGGTGGACAAACACTAGAGTAGATTTGTATCAGCAAGCACGTCATGATAAATGTCATTTATATCGACCAACCTTCGTCTCCGACTCTACCAGTCTTGTGGTGCTTCTTGACGATATAATAAATGTGGCTGACGGTCGAGCTGACGAACAAGGCGAGGATGAACGCGATTACGTAGTGGTGGTGAGCCCAAACGTTGATATAGATGGCGTTGAGGATTGCCAAGAGAGGGAAGCGCCATCCAATGCCGTCAATGGTGATTTGCTTGCCCGCGTCGGTGAATTGGTAGATGACATAACCGAGCAACAAAAAGTGGATGAACGACCAGATGACAAAGGTCCAGCTTGCAGGGGTGAGATACGTCTCCTTTGTAGACTTGTACACGTCGCCGGGTCCGGCAACCGCATAAATGTTGCTGCCGAGGAAAAGGAAGTAGACAATGATGTTGACAATCTAGAGCCAAGAGCAAGGAAAAATAATGAGCGACTAGATCCGAATATAGAGGTCACGATGTCCCAGTTCACGTAAATCCTGGGTCTTGAGGAGCGCCTATGCCTTGTACACCAGTCGTGGATCTCATGGCTTGTTGCACGATGAGGAGCGTGCCCCACTTGTCGGAAACTAGGTGGGAATGAAGGAAGGAGAGTTAGTTTGGCGATGAACAGTTCTCGAAACGTGGAAAAACACACGAAACAATATCCTTTCAGAAGTATCGAATACTGCGTGCTATACTCCTTTTATCAATTTCGCTTGTACTCTTTACTTGCTGTTGATTTTGAATTTGATTGTATGGTTTCATCTTATGTGAAGCGGTGTGATGATATATGATAATGTGCCGAGGAGAAGACGGCGCGGGGGGGGTAGGGGGGCGAGTGTTAGTCGAAGGCGCACGATTTGAATTGGACGAAACGGCGGGCCCACGACGAAACCTTCGAAGACGTGGACGTATGATAGACGTCAGTCATCCTGTGACGATCCTTGCTGACATCTTGGATTTGCGTTAGGCTCGGTGCTTGTTATACTGCAAAGTAGACAAGAGGCTGAGAGGGCGTTGGCTTAAACATATCGAGCCTAGCTCGTCCTGGTCGGGTGCGGGGTTCGGCATGGTCCAAAGAGCAAGATCGGGGTGATACGTGAGAGATGTCCAGTATCGCAGGGTCCTCTCTCTGCCGTAGCTGCAGGGGCGGGAGGGGCGAGAGCACACAGTATCGGACCCCCCCATATACAGATGGTGTGGGACGTGTTTCCAGCCGATGCATAGAGAATTATTTTAGCGACCGACGGGACAGGCGTTGAGCGCGCGAGTCGTGCGGGTGCTATTAACCATCAACAAAGTTTCCGAGGCCGTTGATCAGAATAAAATCATGCGTAAGAGGCAGGTCTTGAGCGGTTGGAGGCCATACTAGAATGGGTGTCGCCCGTTTGGACGTTGACCCCTGCCCGACCCGTTAGACTCGTTTCGACAACTGTTTGACAAATCTCAATCTTGCTGCTCTTTGTCGTCTTCGTCTTCGTCGTCGTCACTGCCGCCGCCTTCGTCAGTGTCGTTGTGGACAGTGCCTTCAGTTCCTCTTCTTCTCGTTCAGTTGGAGTTTCCCCGCACACCCGATAAGATCGAGCCCTTTGTTCACGGCAGAGGTGATTATACGACAAAGGAAGAGGAAGAGAGAAGAGAGAGAGATCATCGGCCCCATCACAACTCGACGTGCAATTTATCAAGAGGCAGTACGCACGAAAACAGCTCGTCTGGATCTACGAAAAGGTAAATGGCTGTCAGTTGTTCATCGAGTCTCCACACACCAATGGCGACTATTTCGGGAAACGCGAGAGGCACAGAACCTCTCAGTCTCGTGTTTTTTATGGCTAGTGCCAGATGTAGCAAGTGGCGAGTTCATTTGTAGCGCTCTGTCCATGGAAATATTTGATATTCTGTGGGTTTCCTGTCGAGTGTCCTATTTCGTCGTCTCTTGGTGGTGGTGGAGTGTGGTGTTTGAGAGCGAGTTCGCTGACCCGTCCTTTCATTTTCCCCCCTCCTCCTCCTCTCTCCTTCTCTCCACTCTACTCTCTTCTTCCCTGGCCACTCTTGGTCTCGGCATTTTGCGCTGCTGCGAAACGACTAGGGAGGGAGAGCCAGGTTTCAAACGCCAAGCAAGCAAAGCGCGCGGGGGGGACGAACTCTACACGCGAACGCAAACCGACAAATCTAGCAGACGAGTTTCTTGGTTCATTGGGCATTGTGTTGCGCTATTCTCTGGCTACGGTATCACGCACTTGGTGAGTACGCTACCGATTACGACAGGGCTCACTTTTGTTCGCCTTCTTCCTTCCTTGCCGGCATACGCGTATTCTCCTCCAATTGCGCGCCGTATCTGTCTATTCTCGTCTCGAGAGGACACTGAGCCACTACGTTCGACGAACGTTGTCACAAGGGCTCACGAACCCATTATCCCTGTCCAACCTCCACACACTCACTCTTTCGTTCTCTCAAAGATCACTACTCCCCCTGGTGTATCTCGTTATTTCGTCTTTCTACTATCACATACATTCTCTTTCAGTGCGGCCTTGTGCAGAAATAGAACGCGAGTGGCTGACGGCGATGACCAATTAGGATATAGGGCTCTCACTTCGGACTCGCCGCGTACACACTCCAACACAGTTGATTATCCGCGGCTCCAGACAACGCCCAGAACATTTCTTTGGTCTCTGCAGGAACCAGGTCGAAGCTTATTGAACCGTCGCCAGTAAGTCCCTCGTCTTCGTCTCGTTCACCACCATCCTGGTTTTGCCAAGGGGGGAAGAGAGAGGCGCGTAGCTAAGCCACAGAGATATCTACATCCGTCTCCTTGACGGTCTTTCTCAATTCACTCTGTTCTCCTTTATCCACCTTCTCATTCCACTCTATTTCGTGGAACGACCGGCCGTTCGACGAACCATGCGCGTCTACCCGTTCACATTTCTACACCGGGGGTGGCCAACGTGACTCGTTTAGCCGCCTCCTCTATTATCTCCGGATTATTTCTTTCTATTTTCATTACGATTCGCACAATTAATCCTGCCGCAGTTACTTGAATAGTACGAGGTCAGGGATAGAGTGGTTGGGCCATTCGGGGTTTTGGGAGTGCAGAGCCATTTGACGCGCAGGGTCACTACGAGCCATTCGGTGCTTTGCTCTCAAATCACCCCCTATTTTTGCCTACACAACTACCGGTTCCTCCCTCGGCAGCAACATTTATGCGGTTGCCGGACCCGGCGACGTGTACAAG